CGATTGAGCAGCTCAAGCATTCTTTTAAGAGTGCCATCAGGTGCTCTATCCTGAAGCCATACATGTTTATTTCTCCTTCGTGTTGTGTAAGGAGTTCGAATATGGCTTGCATTGCGGATTCATTGGGCACGTTTGTATAAAGGGCGGTAACGTCGAAGGACTCCATCACGCACGCGCTGTTGGGCTGCGCAGTACATAGACGATCCAGAAACATCTGGGTATTCGTAAGATGGGCTGGAATGTGTTTCAACAACTGGTTAAATATTAGGGTTAAAAACATCTCGAGGCACTCCGGATTAATTCCAGAAATCCGAAAATGAACCGCAGGGAAGAATGCCTCATTATCACGCGTGATATAGGGCAGTATATAAAACTGCTTTTCTGATGTGAGGGGCACATTATACTTCCATGTGATTTCTGTGCGGTTGGTCTCTACATGACATACTTAGTGGAAACCTTATAGGAAGCGGTGAGTGTGCAAAGCTGTGTTCAAAGTGATTGAAATCTTGGTTTAGAGTTTCTTTGTTTGGGTATGGAGGCGTCTGGCCGAGTAGATTGCTATCAACTTGACCTTTCCAGGCTCTGAGGAAGGCGAAATCCGCCGAAACGTCAGCTTAATCGCGAACAAAGAATAATAACACCTCGCGTTTGCTCAACAAAAATACGAAGAAAATTATCCAGAGTGTTTGCGGGTCAATACGAACTTTAGGGAAATCGTTGGTGTCGCTTCTATTGGGGAACAAAAACTAAACGTTCTGCGAGTGTGGAGCAGTGTGATTTTCCTCCGCTAACATCAAGGATATGCCACAGTTACTAGCCCAGATGCGATCTTCGAGTTGCAATAGGGTCATGGTCGTTTGCCGGTCTTAAACCCATGGCGACGAGTCATACGAGAATTGATACAGTCATACGATGAGGAAACAGTGGCCGCTGTTTCCAGCCTTCCATCACAATGTCTCAGTTCATAGTGAAATTTTTTGGATCAAATAAAATTCATTGGAATCTACAGATCTTTATCTATGAGGAAGAAGTTCGTCTACTCCACAAGGCCGAAATTCTGACTTACAAGAGCGGAAAAAAACCTTTTTTTCGCCGCTTTTCATTGAGGTTCGCATTTCAAATAACAAAGCCATTGAATAAGCTGGATTTCATTTAGCAGGACACGATAGTATGTACGATAGTGTGGACGACAGACAGATAGCACCCTGCCGTGAAAAATTGTAATAGGCAACAAATAAAAAGTTAACATTGTGATTTCAACTACAGCCTCAGCTTAACTGGGTTCAATGCCAATTTGGGCTCCCAAGATCAATCCTGCTGACGGGTGATTGCTGATGGCACTGGTAGACAGAAAACTAGCAGACAGAAATGCGAAGCGATGGACCCGCATGGTGTGGTGGTGAACGCGTTAGTCGCCCGGAAAGGATAATACCGCGTTCGTTCCCTACCCCAGACACTTGCGGTCCGAAGTTTTGCAAATGTTTCAGCATTATTACGGTTGTATTTTACATTGTAACCATGTGTCTGCTCATTAAGAAAACAGTGAACATCGTCTGACGCCGTAAAACCAGTGCCGTCAGAAATGTGTTGGACCTTCGAAAATGAATACTTTTTAGAAGGAATCCTGCCGAGCAGCTTGACAGCAGGAAGTATTATTGCATTTTAATTGCTACTTCGCATTTACCACTCTACACTTAATTCTGTTAGTTTCTATTTAAATGCATTTCACGAACCATTACCATCAGCTTGAAAAGAACACACTGTAGTAATTTTTAGAACTTTCTATGAACACTTTTTAGACATAGGCCGGTGTTTTCATCAGAATGTGTGAGGATGTCCTGAACAGCAACTCGAAACGATCCATGAACGAAATTAAAGAATGGTACTCGCACACGTCACGATTCTCGAAACGAACCATTACAACGGACGGCCGATGTAAGGGGCTGAAACGAACGAATTGAAACCAGTCGACTCAGCAGGACTTCTGAAGACGAATTAGTCAAGACTCAAAACTCTTGGAGTATCCAAGAACCCCTTGAACAACCGGATGGCCAACACCAAACAACTGCAAACATTAAAAATAAGCCAAAATACTAGTCAACACTAATTTCCAACCACATCAACGACTCCAACAAAGAAAGTGGTTTTAATGTCTACGAATCACTACTCTTACTTCTGCACAGAAAGGCTCTCCTGAAGAAAATTACTAATATGATAAGGACTGGGCCCTGTAGGTCATTTACAATATGGAGAGGACGGGCACCATACGAACTTAAATCGGCTTCCATTGGTTACACTAAATTTTCCTGTATGTTGGTAAGAAATGGAAAAAGTGTTGTTCCACGAGCTTCTTTCAACCAGTCCCACATCCCAGGTCCGGTCCTCTTTGCTCAACTTCAGAAGTTTGCCGACGTCATTCAGAATTGTTCCAGACACAAGCACTCTTTCTCTGTCTCGTGCAAATGTGACAATGATAACTAGTCAGACGGCTACTGAACTTGACTAGGGATGTCTACAATGTCATCACTCCGCAAATTCGCTGGAGTCCGTTCCTTCCAATTATCCAAGTTTACCACTAAATCATGTCTGCAAGCAAAAAAGCTTCCATCATAAAATGAAACTCGTGATCACTCACGTATATCACCGTGTTTCCAACCTTCAATGAAAGTAAAATAACTTCAGAGAAATTTGTCCCGATGAGCTACGAAGTTGAAAGTGCAGATAATGACCCTGTGACTGCAATCCATTCAGGCTGGCATTTCGCTCACTTTTAGCCGCAATATGGATAGAAATACCGAATTTTTATTGCCAGCCCGAAGTCCTAGAGAGGTGTGAAAACTGCCCGCATTGAAGTTTGACACTCAGAAACACACTAGCCACTGCGGTTTTCTTTAGCGCAAGTGGACTACTTATTTTTCTAGCTTGGATGAACTTTCGTGTAAGACGTCCATTTTTCCAGGTATGATCTCACCAATGAGAATGCAGTCCCCATTGAGGAGTCTCCTCAGAGATCAACTGTAATTGTAGCCGTTGACGGAGCGTGTGATTATTCACAACGACAGTCGGTAGCCATAGCGATACTACGTGAAAACAAGCTCGGAAAGTCCGTAGAGTTCAATAAATCCAACTTTGTCTCCTTGATTTACAAACATCAGTGAGAGTATTACAGAGTTCAAACCTCTTACAAAAAATCTATGGCCATCATCATACTAGATTTGTGGAACAAACAGAGAAGCATTTATGGTCACGTGTAACATTATTTTTCACAAAATCGATGAGTGAACTATTTGCAAAGGGTAAACGTGAAGGTGAGTGAATGAGGGAAGGGAGACAAAGGGTCTAAATAATAACACCAAATATAATTAATCTTTGGTACTGAAGGCAAAGAAAGCGCGATCCAAAGAACCTTTTCCTTTTAGACTCCTACGAGGTTCCACATATATCGTTTCGGAACTCAAAAATCGAAATGGTTCTTGGGAATAGCAAAGATGGAATAGAAGGATAATAACCCTGGCATGAGCAACTTTGCATTTCCATGGATGTACCATCCGAATTATCCACTTCAAGTTTCGTTAGAAGCCAGCATACAGGTTTGTTTATAAACACTACGCGCTGACTGGTCAAAATCCAATCCAGTGCTTTAGTAAAGATAGCAAAAATCAAGAAGAACATTGAGTTTCTATCATGGAATTGACAATGACAGTGTAACCCAAAGATGCTCATGCGACAGTGTTCGCTAAACAGTACCAGAAATTGTTTCATAACCAGACCACTACAAATGGTTTTAGCGTACTGGAGCTAAGGTACCTGATCTCTTCCATCAAATATCCTCAAGCATAGTTGCATGCTTTCTCCCTACGCTCATAATGTAACCACATTCTGATACACTCTTCTTCATGTAATAATTGATTTTATCAACGATCATGTTCCGCTCAGTCCCTTCGCTTTTCATTTGTGCCTGTGGCAGACTTTGTTCGCGAAAGTCGATAAAAATAACCTACTCGCCCACCTGTATTTTTTATTGCTGTATAACACATTGGTTTATAACAACTCTGGAATTCAAAACGGTAGAACACTGTCCACCTAGAGATAGAAAACAGCAAGGAATAAATAAAACACGTACAAATCATATGATAAGCTAACAATATTAATTCACGGTCTATAAGAAGAAACACAGACTTTCAAATCAATGAAAACCAGATGACACAGCCAAGAGACGATATTAGATAGATAGATCACATAAGCACTTGCGTGTGAAAGTCTGTGTACCAGAAAACTATGGAAACATCACTTAAAACTACGGGAGCGCCTTACAACAACGATCCGAAAATCACGAAAAGGAGGCGAATTCTGTTGAATGCGCAGTAGGTGGCTACGAATGCGAAGCTCATTCTGCCAGATTCGATCTCTGTGTGAGGAAATGTTACAGTCCTTCTTAAGCACAAGCAGAAACTCTCACAAATAGAAGAAACTCTGAACTCAAGGAAAGCTAAACGTAGACAAATAATTTTCGAGGTTAAATAAATGTTAGCATAAAAAGCTTAGCCACAACAATGTCGTCTTAGTAACGTTGTATAAGTTCAAGAATCCAAGAAAATATTGCATATAGGTTCATTCTGCTGTAAATGGTCTCATCAGGCGTTCTCTACAGTTATGAATACAAAGGTTGAAATGTAGAAAGTGTCAACAAACTGCTTTGTGCCACATTGACAAACAAAGTTTTTGAAAAGTTTAACAAATAGGAAACTAGCTGAGAGAAAGGCGAAACGAAGGATCCGCATGGTGTGGTGGTGAACGGATTAACCATCGGAAAGGGTAATAGCCTGTTCGTTCCCCACCGCAGACACCTGCGGTCCAAAATTTTACAATATCTCATCATCATTGTAGTTATAAAGCTTTTAATATTTGTAGTTTTAGATCACAAATACCTTGATATAATCTGCAACAAGTAGAGTGAAAACCTTAGTGGTCTAAGGGTCCATAGAAAGCATCACATAAAAAAAATTGTAACGTACCTTCTTAAGATTTGTTTTTCTTCCTTCTCAAGTTTTTCATGGCGCTTTACGAATACCTCTGTTTCAACGCGCTCATCAGTTAGGCGTGGTTGACATCGCAACGCCGTTAGACGACCCACCTGGACCCGGTCAACTTTGAGTACTCAAATTCCACTGTTAGGCTAGCATGTCTGATTCGTTCAAGAAAACTGTGAGTAGACGTACCATTCTGACCTCTGGGAGTTGCAGCATCTTGTTGACAGGACTTTCTACACGTGCACTACGATCGTCCTAAAAACAATAACGGATGAAACGGCTACGTTTCTGCCTATCGTGGCCAGAACCACCAAAAGAAAAGAGGAAAAAAAGGATCGACTGACAACATGGTTAAGAGAATTCAGTGAGGTTTTCGGCACAATAGCAACGGCGTAGTGATTTTCTTTCTGGCTAGGTGATGGGATTCTCCTTTTACGACCCGTAAGCTTCGTTTTCTCTTCGGCTACCTAAAATTTACTGTATGCATTGCTAATGGAACATAACGTTTGTTTCACAAGAAACGCCTTATCCATTATTACCGACCAATTAACGAAAAGGTATTAGAATAAAAAAAGTGCTTGCTATCGTTGCGACTTAGAGAGTATTGAAAAATAAGCATGGAATTCTAACATCGCTGTGAAAAATGATTAGCAGTACATCATAGAAGAGTCTAGGAGAAGTAAAAAAAACTTTTGATTGGTCTAGAAGAGAGATCCATAGTCAATAAGTTTAGGAAATGGTACCAGTAATACGATAATATCTAGAAAATTAATTGCCCGAAGAGATTACCGACCGGAACCTTGGAGGTTTTCTTCTTCGCCTGCTTCTTTTCTTCATTGCAGTGGTACACGGCGATCTTATCCCCGAAACGACGTTGTCTAGGAGCAGGTGACCCAGCAGTTTTCCGTTTATTTGAAGCAGCCATCTACTAAACAAAGGCCAGATGACAAATTAAGGGTGAAAACCGCTACAGTAAAGGGATAAATTTAAAAATTGGCATTGGCAAAAAATTGGCAACATTCCAAACTAAAAATATGGTTACAAACAGATATCGGCCCATTACGGGAGATCAAGGATTTAAGAACGAAAGGCAATGACTGGAACCGATAAACAACAATTTTTGGGGGTTATACTACTCCACGCACAATTCCCTTACCTCAAGACAGCGCCAGGAATGAACTCGAAGGACCCGAGACAGGAGAAGCAGCTTGTTTAAAGGACTATTCATAATCGCGCATACGATTAGCTCTTGAGCGAATCAACTATGAGAAGAGTTTTTGCTAACTGGTAGAGTTTTAGGGCAATGTCGTAGTGGATACTTCGTGGTTAGACAGTTCATGTACTTGGGATGTATTCATATTAACAAGTGAATACTTGATACTTGATACTTGAACGACCCATCCTCACTGGTTATGCGGGCCCAGCGTAACCTCCATTTTTCGGAGATTTGCTGGTTAAGCCTTGTGGTTCTCTGGAATCCGGAGGTCAGCCTGGCCAAAGTCTGCCCCAGGTTTTCACCACTACAGGCAATCGCAGCTCTTGTGGATCAGGGGGAGATTTGGCACCATGGGACCTTGATATCAGCTCGTGTGGTAGTTCCTGGTATTGGCTTACTCTTAGCTAGGCTTCCTAAAGGAAACGCCGGACTGCTTCTCAACTTGGGAGACCCTGCCGTGGGATGGATGCCCCGCCGTACATCAAGGCCAAACACCCAGGAACACCTTCCAGCCACGATGAGGCGGTAAACCGTTGGGATGAACAAATGAATGAACTCATATTTTATTATGTTAGTCTCATTGTGAAATGACACATACTCACTTCTTGAACATCATCACAATCAGACTGAAGGTGTTTCTCCGCTGTCATAGCAAGATCTCCTGAAGCACGTTGCATACGTAGAAGAACACCCTACGTCCCTTCCGTACCCATCGCGATGCTGCAGCAGTCTGAGGGACGACTGCAGAGTGCAACTCGAATCTCTCGCTCAAATCGGTCAACAAAATACACTCATAGATAGACAGCGACTTCTATGACTGGGAAAAATCGATTGAAATACTAACCATTTTGGTTATCCCTACTCCGTCCGACATCCAACATCGATGAAAATGTAACTTGAGCACTATTTTTTTTACTACATATGAATGTGAAGAAGCCGTGGAAAGAAGACTAGTGTTCACTCGAAAATGGTAGTTCGCTTCAAAATGGTAAATCAGAAAGGAATCGAATCCCCATAGCTGTACTCTCGGACTAAAATCAAACCAAGAAATAGGGAGATTGACCTGTTTAGTTCGTTAACACAATTTTACAGTTTAAAAATTCATTCGTACCTTGTGGTACAGAAGAAGTTCTTGCTGACCGAAATTGAAGAAAAATCTGTCGTATAATCGAAATATTCACCTTTGTAAGTTCTCTGCCAGCTCATAAAAGGACATTTATGTGCACCTCTGAGGATCCAATCAGCAGGATTACCATACGTTTCGATCGCACAAACACCTACCATCTCCATGCCAATGTTAACCGTATCAGGAGTAACTCGGAGATTTTGTTGAAAACAGAATTAGCTTCCTAGTTATGCAACGATAGCATCGCACTGGTTTTCCGTCGTAACGTACCTTGAATTCCTGTAAATAGGATGATCTGAATGTTAACCTTTTAACCTTTTTATTTACTGCCTGTTCTTTTTAACAGTGGGGTATGTTGCGAGGCGAAACGAAGGACACGCATGGTGTGGTGGTGAACGCGTTACATTCCGGAAAGGACAATACTGCGTTCGTCCTACAACGCAGACACCTGCGGTCAGGAATTTTGCAAATATCTCTGCATTACAGAAGCTATATCTCGCAAATAACCTTTTATTCACTGCTTATTACTATTTTTCGCGGCAGTGGAAAATGTGAAATGCGACCACTATGATGCTGAGATATTTGCAAAACTAGGACGCTGGGCCAGATCGAACCGCGATCATTCTTCGCGGGACTGACGTGTTGTGCAGGGCACCACAGTGGTCCTTGCTTTGTCTTTGTCTCAGCCGTTGTTTATACGGTGCCGGTGCCATCAGCAATCACCCGTCAAATATTTTGCAAATATCTTAGCATCATAGTGGTTGCACGCTCTGAGATCATAAGATGGGAATCGCTAGGACGACCTGTCTATAATATCAAGATTGGATGAAGGTGGATGGAAAGAGTTATCAGCGAGAAGAGCAGAATTTGCAGATGACGTCCTCTACCGAACCTCTGATGCATTGACACCTTGATGTTGGAGGACTGGTACTCTGGAAATGTGCTCATAGAGCGTTGTGGGAACTTTTCAATCGAACAGATGGCCATAAAGGCTTGGATACATCAGCTGCTCGATAGCTTCGAAGAGGAAACCGAATAGGGTCCATTCTGTTTCTCTGTAAATTTTATGCTTTGTGCCTCCATTACCTTTCAGTAGATAAGACAGATCGAAAAGTAAATATTATCAGATGCTATTTAAAATTGATAAAGATTTAGAGATAAATTATGGTAAACTACTCACTAGGATATTTGGGCGACCCATCTTCAATGGTTGTGCGAGCACTACCATTATTTTCACTTTCCGGAAATTTGATGGTTTATGCACTGTGGTTCTCTGGAGTCCCTAGGTCAGCCTAGCCTTCCTCAGGTCATCAACAGCCCATAAGTCGCCGCCTTTGTGAATCGGAGGGAGATTTGCCAACATACCACTAGTTTGATATCAGGGCAGTGGTGATTCCTAGGATAGGTTTATTCTTAACTGAGCTTCCTTTTGGAAACGTCGGAATCTTTATCAGCCTGGAAGGCCCTGCATGGGGGTAAACCCCAGTTGGATAATAGAAACCTAATGAACTTGTTTCAGGGTAGTCAAGCTATAGGATGACCCCTACACTCAATCGATTTCTCAGAAGCAGCGAATAATGCCGGATTTATGAGAAATCTAAAAAAAAAAGAAATATGAAAGAAAAATGAAAAAGACAAAAGTAGAGAGTGGAACTGCAGCACTAATCGATTGAGAAATGTAGCGCAGTGGTTAGAGACTCACTGCAATAACTTCAGTACTTGTTCGATCCCTCAGATCCTGGCTAATCAAGCATATCCGTCATTTCGGGGTCGACGAATAGGTACTAAACTTGTTTGAGAGAATAAAAACACTGGCTTAATAGAGTCTAGGATATTCGTTGTCTTAAGGACATCAGTCTCGTATTTAGATAAATAAACATTTGTGATATTGTGATAATTTCATCACATTTTTGGTAGGTATGAATCATTTTTACCGTGGTGCCCACTAAAAATGGCTGAGTCAGTGTGAGTTTACGATCTTCTTATACTGCTGCTGTAACTGCTAGTTTTCCTCTTGAGTTCCACACTACCACCTCATTCCTATGCCCACATCTGTCTCTGATGAAATGATAAAAAATGATTGTGGAAATATTTTTTGGTTATGACGGACGTCAGTGGAGGCTTTAAGTTTTCTGGAGTGGAGAGTCTGAATCAGTTACTTTAACTGGTTAACTGCTTTGATAAGAAATACTTCGTCGTTTTTCTCACTCTCTTTGGCACATATTCTGAAGGCGACTTTTACACGTTTGCAGAAACACTTCCAAATATCGTACTGTCTCTGTACGAATCCCCTAAGGTGGAAAATTTTGATCCAATAGTGAGATTTGACAGATGTTTTACTACAAAGGGACTTTCAGTTTATCGCAACATAACGCTTCTTTGTGACAAGCAGCCTGAAAATTCTAACACATCGTTTCTTGAACGTTACTGCACTATGACGTTTAATTCATACCGAAAAGATAATGAAGCAATCATGAACCAACTAACTTATCAAATAGCTTTTGCAGTGAATGTTATCGTCACTGAAATTTGTCGTTATTGTTGCCAAAATTCATTCGGGATAGAGAGTGGGGATGCGCTTTGCACGGATGTTGTTGATCAGTAGACTCATGACGGTTCGAACTGATTTCAATGAGCACGCGATGATTAGGCGTCGCGTCCTAGCTGCGGTTAAAGAAAGCTAGAAGTCGGTACGAAGATGTTCTAGCTTCAATATTATGCGCTCACTACTGAGCGGACGATCAGCGCGAGTGGTGCCGTGGTCGGAGGCACCATGTATACGTGGGATCGACCCCGCCTCCCAGGTTCTCCAAGCCTTCCATCCCTCCGGGGTCGGCAAATTGGTACCAGACTTATCTGAGAGGTTAGCAGCACTGGCTCGATACATTGGTAGGCCAGCGCGAGTCATTGTGAAGGCCAGATATGCATTCAATCACTTTCAACGCGCTTAATGAAGTCGAATGAACCGCGCCTTCCTCAGAGATTGATCAACGCTGAGAGCTCTATTCTTTCATTGAGTGTGCTGGTTATATTTCAGAAGACATTGTCCAAGCGTTTTTTGAGTAGTGCGCAGTATTCTTGACGTAGTTGAATTATCGACCCAGCTCTCTGCAGCATAGCAGAGCGCTGGGAGTACCGTCGAATCGAATAGGTGAGCGCAGATTCTTGGATCCTTCACTTGGTCCGTGGCTTCTTTGAAACTGCTCTCATTCTTCTGTCTGTCTGCCTTTTCGTGTTTTTCTCCATGTTCGTTGATCGCCCAAAGTATACGTACAAGGCTTTCACTTTTTTATTTTGTTTTATAAATGTGTCGTTTTCTTTTTCAGCAATCACGAGGTTGTTGTACAGCACGTCGTGTCCAACATGTCGATCTTAGGAACTATTTCATCTTAACTTCAATGATGATTCAGGGATTCGCTCAGGGATTGATCAACGGCGAGAGCTTTATCCTTTATCCTTTGTATCAAGCGGATTTGATAAGCGCGAGAAGTTGGCGCACATGCGTAATGGGTTTATGGTGGTATCATATCAAAATGTTGCTACATGAACCGTTTTCCAACAATATTGATAAGCTAGGAGTGGGCGGATTGATTTTTAAGCGGGTAACGATTTATCCTTTTTGAAATTAGGTGAACACAATTAGATAACGGAGTAAGGATCATCGAAAAGCAACGGTGCGTGCTCGCGCTCGCCTCGTGTCAGCCCATCAAGGACAATTCCTAAGAGCCACTGTAGGTGAAAGGCAAGATGCAAAAAATTTTATAGTTTTACGACTGGAAATGCAATACTACCGTGGCTACAATGTACTCTTTAGAGTATAAAAATTTGAGAAGTAGAATGCGTCGTCTTCAGTTCATACTATAATTTGGAAGTTTCAAGGAACTGCGACCTCTTGTTGAAATATTTTTGCGAGGCTTGCCTGTTCTAACATAATTTCTTTTGATTAGAATTTGACAGGATAGGAAGGTTTTTCCTCTTTGAAATCATGTTCAACCATGCTCTTTGTTGTGGTCCTGATAGGAACTCCGAAGTGCTTCCCACCTCGAGTGATGCTACTTAGGAGTACCTGAGAGTAAAAGAGAGTGTGAGGCCATTGCGTTAAAAAGCGACTACACTCTGTGGATCGTAATTCGGTATTCAGGACCACCTTTAGACATGATGAGACATTTAACTATTGATAAAGCACAATTATTTTCACACACTTCTGTGAAGTTTTCTATTTCTTTTGCTTCACCTGTTGGTACGGGCAACTTAAGTGCACATACACATGAACTGTTACCAGTCATAAGTTCATTGGTAGACATGAACTGTTCACTGCTGAAAAAGAGCTCCATTTAAAAAATCACCACAATGGATCATGATCATAGCTCTAGGCTGTTACCAGGTGTAGAACGCGATACAGAGTGTGGGATTTACTTTTACCAGTATTGTGTCAAAAAGCAAGTGCATGGCCAGCGTAGCCAAAAGTGTGTGCCAAATAATTTTCGCGGCTATGCCCCGCTATGCTTGTAAGTTTGCCCTATAAACTCTTCATGAAATCGCAAATGGAGA